GCCAGTTCTAAGGGTCATCATGGAGGAGAAAGTGGGTTTTTGTTGTCATTTTGTTTTCTCAGAGATACTGCTTTAAAAACCACATTATTGAGAAATGTGGCTTTTTGAAAACAGTTTGTAAATGCTAGAACCACTAAGGTTCTACCCTTTTCCCCACCCTTGTCAGAACAGCAGAGGTGAGAACCCAGGAGAGAAGAGAATACAACTGACTCTACTACCAGGAGGGCTTCAAAGATACAGGGTGGCTCCTAACAGCAAGCAGCTGAATGAGGAGGACCCCTGCCTTCCTCTGAGGACAGGCTTTGCTGGCAAAAGGGAGAAATGAATAGACTTTCTCCCATCTCCACTCTACTTGAGTTGGCTGTGCTCAGAGGAGCAGAAGTCCAGATATCCCAGGCTTCTAAGTCTATATCTAGAAGCCCATGTCTTTTGCTCGTCTTCACTTTCTCCTGGGAAATTCAAGTGTCTTCTCCCAGGGAAGTTCCTTCCTATTTGTTTTTTCTTCTAAGATGTTCGTTTTTAAAGCCTGGCTTGCTATTCTTAATATTCTTTTAGTTTCTCTCTCTGTTTCTCTCTAAAGACAGGTTGATTTTTCTGATTTGCTATCTCCTCTGGGTTCTTTTGTTCTTCCTGCATCCCAGATAACTGAGAATTTACCAACCAGTCTTCCTCACCATTTCTTCAAAAAGCTGGCCTGTTGTTTTTGGCTGGCCACCTCTGTTCTTGTATACTTGGGTTCTCTTAACCCTTTGGAAACATAGCTGTCTGCACAGTGTCCCATTGTGGAGAAAAGCTCAAACTGTGTGGTAGGAAACCTTCTTGACTTTGGTTTTTAGGAGTCTGAGCCTCTTATCAGTCCCAGTATTCTGGTGGCTTCAGACTTCTACTGAGGGCAGAGTCTCTACAGTGGAGGCAGAGGGCAAACCAGATGCTTTTGTGGGGTGGAGGGAGAGCCTTTACAGCTTAGGGGTATGTATTCACACAGTCCTCAGGGCTCAGTCTTTGAGGTAAATGGAATTAAATGGCTCTGTTTCTCTTATTTCCATCCTCCTACCACACCCCCTTTCCAGTTGCTGTGGACCAATGCATCTCTCTCAAAGCAAATATTATCCAGCAAGCATCTAACCTGTCCTTTGTAATTGTTCCTCTCCATGTCCTTCCTGCTACACATGTTTTATATGTTACTACGTTATTTTCCTAAGTTCTCCTGTCCTTGCAAACAGAAGATACCATACGTGGGCTTAAGGCCTAAGGAAGCTAGCCACTTTCGGGACAAGGGCTCCTCCCTTTCCTCCCTATCCATGGCTCTGAACCACTCTTCTTCTGCCTTTATGGATGAGACTGCTGTTACCGCAGCACTTGTGTCTGCCAGGGCTAACTTGGCCACTATCCCTGTCCTACAGAACCCAAGGGAGAAGGTGGTGGCTGTGTCTCCCCAAGTAATGTCACTGTCTATTGCTATTCCTTCTCTCTAGCAGCTGGCCTGACTGCTTTTGAGTCACAGGTGTGGGGTGGGGAGGGGGGAGAGGCACTCAATCTGTAACCCCCAAGGAGGAAATAACTAAGAGATTCTTTGGGGTAGCTGGTGGTTGTGCCTTTTGTAGGCTGTTCCCTTTGCCTTAAACCTGAAGGTGTCTCCTCAAGCCTGTGGGCAGCATGCCCAGATTCCCAGACCTTAAGACACTGTGACAGTTTTCTCTATTGGCCCGCTGTATTTCATTGCAAGAATTTCTTCATGTGTGTTGTTGTTTTGTTACTGTTTTAAAGGGTGTACATTTGTGATAAGTATAAGTATTGTGACTTGGAGATAATAAAATTTAGACTGTAAACTTGGCCTCTTTGCCAGTGTTTTGCATGAGTCTTGAGTCGTGAAGGAAGGAAGAGGACCCCCCTGGTTCCACAGAGTCATGGTCACAACTTGAACCAGCTGACTTGTGAAATGGAAGCCCACAGAGATGAGGGTCCTCTGTAAGGCTGCAAGTCCATCTATATCCCCATCAGTTATCCTTTCTAATCACATGGTCACTTGGACACCAGGATATCATTGCAGTCCCTTAGATTGAAATTCAAGGACAGAAAAACTAGTGAGATGCTGCTTACCTACATGAACATCTCATATCCTTTATGCCTTTATATTTGATGAGCAAGTTTCCCAAGGTAATGCACCAAGTAATACAATTGTACTAGGTCCTAGATGAGAAGGAAGTAGCTAGCTAGCTACTTGAGAAGTAACTGCTCAAATTGGCACTAAAGTATCCAGGACCACAGTCTAAGAAAGGCTCCCATCTGTCTTAGTATAGGTAAAGGGGAGGGGCAATTGAAAGACCCCAGCTGTGGTTCATCCCAGTTACCTAGGCCACTTGGCCTCTAAAGTGTACAGGGCAGTTCCTAGCTTTAAGTCAACTGTCCTCCAGATCCTGGATGGGGTGGAACCTTACTACAGAGGTTGTCCCCAGTGTGGGGGAGCAACTGAATATAACGTGGAGTTGGTGATATGTGTTCTTGGGTCCCACACATCTTTGTACACTGTGGGAATGGGCATAGTGGTGCATCTGAAAAATGATGGTAGGAACTCCTGGTATATAGATACCTTGGTTCTGCTGCTATAGCTGGGGGACCATGCCTCTCCTGAACCCCATTGCTAATTACTACTAATCATAACAGTTTGCTCCCCTTCTCCCACATAGAGTGATGGGTAACTATGGGCCCAATCTGCTGGGATCATGCAAAGAATGCCAGCCCCCCTTGGGGATGGGCTACTGGAGGAATGAGTATGTTAGTATGTTTCCCCCTCACCCTGGCCTCTTGCTTCCCCAGGCCTGCAGTTAGATCCCATTGCTCTCTCGGTTGCCCTGGTAACCAGCTCAGCAAGAAGAAACTCAAGCTCAGCAAAGCCCCCCAGGTTCTCTGCCCTACCATCCTGCCTCTTGATGGGCAGAAAGAAAGAGAGGGGCAGAGAGATCAACTTTCTGTAGGTAGCCCTGCCCCATCCCCTTCTAGAGGCCTATGGGCTGGGCACTCAAAAGTGTTTTGCCTTCATATCCTCACAGGAAATAAACATACCACCTTCTCTCCCTGTTTTTGCCTTCATAGAGTGTAGATGCCCTGCCAACCCTCCTTACCCTTGGGGTCAAGCACACAGGCCCTCTACCTTTGGGAGACTCAGCACAGCAAGGACTTAAGAGGCCTCAAGTTGTGTCCTGGCATCTGTAGGCCACTTGAGTTGAGTTGTCCTAGGGCAGTGATTTTCAAAGCTGCCTATTTCAGTCACTTGGGACTTTTCTAAAAAATACCATAAACTTGGCCCCACCTCAAAGGTCTGATTTAATTGATTTGGGTGTAGCCTGGGCATCAGTATTTTTGAAAAGTTCCCTGGATTGTGATGTGCAGTCAGGTGAAAACCACTGCTGTCTTAGGAGGACCATGATGCTGGCTTTCCTCCCTGATTCAAGGTCTAAAACTTAGTCTCTGATATCCTTGAGGAGTTGGAGGGGTGCTAGAGTCCTGCTCCCCAAGCTTCCAGTTTCCAGAAGTCTCTCTGCCCCTTATATTTCCAGCCTTCACAACTCCCCAGTTCTTCCCCCTTCCTAACCGACAATCCCAAATCCTGCCCAGAGAGGAGGTTACCAAGGCAACCAGCTTAATCTGGTAACTGTGGCATGTGCTGGGAGTAGAGCCCTCACCTCTTCTTATTTGGTTCATAAAATGCCTGGGGAGCTCCAAGCCACTCCAGCCAGTTTCCCCTCTGAACCCCTGGATATCAGGGTATCCAATAAAGAAAGCCCAGGAAACTGATACTCAGATGTCTGTTCCAGCTTCTTAACCAAAACTGCTCTTTCCTAAAACTGTTTCCTTTCCAAATATACAGATGGGTGTGCAAAGCTTTATTTCTGTGAACACATGCTCTAGCATACATAGGAACAGATATGCACACATTGACATGTGTGTAGTACACACCCTGTTCAGTTCTATCACCACTCCCAGACTTAAGCATTCCTGTCCCTGCCTGGTTGGTGCACAGTAAACGGGTGGGGCATTGTCCAAGGAGCCCTAACCCATCAAACCTTGTGCTACTCCCTCACCTTGTTACCTTAACCTTGATGTGCTAACACTGAGCATGCTTCTATGCTATACCCCCATCCTCCCTCTGAGGTATTGTACCCAAAGAGAGAGAATGCTCTTGACACAGGCATCAAGAATAAGGATTATTTGGAGTGCAAATTTGGCACCACTTTCTGCTTTCCATGGCTATGTCAACTCTGGAGGGGCTTGCTATGCCTGATGCTGGTTGGCAGTTCTGGAACTTGTCACCCATCTCCATGGCCCTGCTTCTTCCTGCTGCCAGCTGGGCTCAGGAGCCCTTCTGTTCCTGGTCTCCTCCCCCCACCTATTGTCTTCTCCTCACCCCAACTAGACCTGCCACAGCCTGCTGTTCCCTGCCTGGCTCCTGCCTGCCTGCCAGTACCTGTCTGTCACAGTGCAGGCCCTCCCCACGTATTGTGCCCTACCAGAAAGGGCAGATGGGCACCACTCCCAGTTTCAATGCCAATCCACTGAAAGGCCTTCCCTGCCCCTGTTAAGAGAAGGAAGATAAAGACTACATATTCTTGTGAGTATGGTCGTAGAGCATACAGTCAGGGTTAAGAGTGATAGACACCAAATTAGCAATCTTTTGTAGGCCGTACCTGAGTACAGGTAGGTGAGTCAAGGCATGCAGGCCACAGACCTGCCTTGGTTCTTTGAAATGATATTAAGAGTCCTTGTAAGCCTTAGAGACAGGAACCACCCCTCTCCATTGTTTAATCACCCCCTCACCTTGGCCCTTAATTTCTGCATCTGCTGTATACCTAATCCCATTCAGTCCCTTAATGTTTCCCTCCCAGTCAGCCCCAGCTCCCAAATTTAAGCCTCGCGCGGCCCAGGAGGCGGGCCCTGGGAGGGTAAGGGAGGGGACTGGGCGGGGACTGGGGGAGGGGGCGCGGTCTGAGCCCTGCCACCTACCCCCAACCGGTCAGGAGCGCAGCCGCCGCTGCCGCTGCCGCCGCCGCGTCCTCTCAGGCTTGCGCTCCGCCCGCTGCTACTGCCGCCGCAGCCCGCCCAGGAGCGCAGAGCCGGGGGCACTGGCCCCGCAGCCTACCCACTCTTCGGGCCGCGAGCCGCTGTAGCCGGCATGGGGGGTCACTAAGAGCGGGCGCTCCTTCCCTTTGGCACCTCCCCGGCCACTGGCTACTGGACCCTGGCCAGCGAACCTCGAGCATCTCTGGCCTCCAGTTCCGCACCCGGCACGGCCCTCCGCTCTGCCCCTTCGGCTCTGAGCATCGCGTCCCTGCCCCCCCCCGCCCGCGCCAGGGACACCTGAGTCCCCCGGCGGCCCTGAGGAGAGGGGCGGGGGGGGGGGTGGACATGAAGCCGCTGGAGAAATTTTTGAAGAAGCAGACATCGCAACTGGCGGGGCGAACGGTGGCGGGAGGTCCGGGCGGAGGTCCGGGGAGCTGCGGCGGGCCTGGAGGGGGCGGGGGGCCTGGCGGGGGCGGCGGTCCAGCCGGGGGACTGCGGCCGCTGCAGCGGCGTCAGAGCGTGTCTCGCCTGCTGCTCCCAGCTTTCCTCCGGGAGCCCCCCACCGAGCCGGGGCTGGAGCCGCCCCCTGAGGAAGAAGGGGGAGAGCCGGCGGGAGTCGCGGAGGAGCTAGGCAGCGGGGGGCCCTGCTGGCTGCAGCTAGAGGAGGTGCCGGGGCCCGGGCCGTTTGGGGGAGGGGGCCCCCTGCGCTCCCCTTCCTCGTACTCTTCAGATGAACTGTCTCCAGGCGAACCCCTGTCTTCCCCGCCCTGGGCCCCCCTGGGCGCCCCCGAGCGGCCGGAGCATCTTCTGAACCGGGTTCTGGAGCGGCTGGCCGGAGGGGCCACCAGGGACAGCGCAGCGTCAGGTAAGCAGTGGGCTGGCTCGTCCATCTCGGGGTAGGGGGTTGCCACTGGTTCCTTTTCCTCGCCCTTGGAGAGTGGGGGTGGTGCTATGCCGGAGCCTGGGTGTGGGGCCGAGTAGTCAGCTGAAGTGGGTTAGAGGCCTATGGGAGGAACAGAACGAACCTTTTTCAGTAGAGAAGTGGCACTGCCACTTTTCTCCCTGTAGCAGCCTCACCCACTGGCTGGAGAAGCTGAACCTCTTCCTTTCCTTAAGCCATGCTTCCTTTACCCTGGTCATTTTATTCACAGACTCATGGATCCCTGATGTTGACTGCCTCTTTCTGTGGCCCAAAATTAAGGCCTGACACACTAAGGTGGAAGCTGCCCTGAGCAGCCTGTGCCACACTTCAAGCGCTGAAAGACCTTCCAGGAGTCCCTGATTCTGTTTAGAAGCCCTGGAGCACAGGGCTGGCCCACTCAGCCAGGCAGCGCCAGACAGGCACAGGGCCCAAGCTGCCTTTTGGGCTCAGGCAAAGGGATGCATTGTCTGTCCTCAGCAGCTTGCGGGGAGGGAGGCATTCTAGTAGGGGATTGACTCAGAAGGTGTTTGTCGAGGAGAGGTGGCTGAGGAGATATCAGGGCCCTGCAGCATCCAGGGGGCTCAGAGCCTTTCCAGCCCCTGCCCTTCCTGTGGCAGATCTTGGCACATGGCCTCTTAAAAAAATAATAATAACCACACCCTGAGAAGTTTATTCCCTAAACGATAATACTATTTCACCACTCCCCACCAGCACCCCTACAAAGCGGACTTTGAGGAAACTTGAGGTCCCAAACTGTTGGTTAGTGGCTGAGGTAGAAGACCCATGAGTCTTTAGGCATAGCTCTGGGCATTTCACTAAGCCCAGCAGCATCTGAGGATTGAGAGCCCTGACTGAGAGCCTAAAGGTGGGGGTTTCACACTGGTTTCAAAACTCTGCAGGGAGCCCTAACCTCAGTGTGTGGGATGAGGCTCCACTCTCCTAGATTTTTCTTAAGACCTAGGTCCTCTCCTTGGCTCAGGCTGTAGTTGCCCTAGGGAGCTGACACCTTTTGGATTTAATTAGAAAAAATATCAGACACACACAGCTCTCCTAACCATAATTTCCCGCCTACACCACACACCCTGTCTCTATGACACATTCCCTGGGGAGGCTGTGCTTTGGACCAGAGCCTGCCTTGGAAGAGACAGACGCCAAACAGTAGCCCCCATAGCAGCATCTCTCCCACTCTGCCCTGTGTTCTTCTTCCTTTGCTCTGGCTTAGCTCTCCTGCGAGATAACAATATCGGAAAGATGTTGGACATCCCTATTCCTAGTCCCCATCCCTGGAGCTGGGGGTCAGCATGGGGGGCTCTGAGACTCACTTTAAGAACTCAGCAGGATAGCTGGGCAGAGAGGAAGGGGGAGAAACTGTCTTTCTCCTTCCACAGGTGCCTAGTACCACAGACTTTGCTCAGTCTCCTTTGGGGAAAGACTCCTGAATGGATTGTCACCATATTATCTGGCCTGGCAAGCTGGATCCCCAGAGTTACTGGTTTCAGAGTGAATGAGAAACAGTTTAACCTGCCACTCTGATATTCCCCAATATAACCAGTGTTCTTGAGCCATCTTGGTTTCCTCCCAGGGTGAGTGGGAGGAGGGTACTTACGAAGGGACCCCCAAACTGGCCAAAGCCTCAAATATCTAAGCAACCTCATCTAACCACTGTGCTCTACCCTAACACTGCTTGCCTTAGGCATACTGAGAAAAGAACAAAGACTCAAGAGTCTGGGTTCTTATTGTGGCTCCAGGCAAGTCCCTCCCATCTCTTGGCCTTGGTTTCTCTCATTTGTGAAATGAAATAGTTAAGTTGAGGATCTTGGTGGTTCTCCTCCTTTATCTTCATGGCTAGAATTGGAAGCCAGGGGATGGTGAACCAAGGGCCTTCAGAAGCTTTGCTTTTGTCCTGCGGCAGTGCCTGGAGACCTGGCCCTACCCTGTCCTGGTGAGGACACCTGGCTCCATCCCTGCACTCTGCCTGTCTGTGTGTGCCAGGGTGCCCTGCCCCACCCCAGGGCTGGCTGCAAGTCTGGACGACCTTGTACCTGGCTGACTGGCTGAGCCAGGCCCGGATGGGGGTGTGGAGGGGAAAAGAGTGGTGAGGAGAACCACTCCCCACCACCCTTCTGTAATTAACCCTTCCATCTCTGGGCATCCAGAGAACACAGGGTTTCTAGTCAAAGGCTTTGGGATTAAAGAAATGGCAGTTGCTCCCCTCTCCTTTTTAATAGGGCTGGTTCTTACCTGCCTAGTTGTAACTCAAAACTGTTAGGTAGGGAGTGGGTGGGGAAGGAAGAGGGCTACACACACACACACTCTACTGACCCTAACCTGTGTTTGGAAGTTTCTTTATATAGAGACACTTCTGTGGTCTACCTCTTTTTTTCGGGCAGATCTCAAGTTTGATTGATTATCTGACCAGCTTCCCACACACACTGAAGAGAAGTAGGCATGGCCATCAAAGAGCACCCCCTCCTTCCTTCCAGCTGTCTTGGCAGCTGCCAACCCCACCCCCACAGCAGCCGCCCAGAACCTTCACGTGCGTGTGTGCCCGCATGTGCAGAGCATGACGGGGCAGGTGGCTGGACTCCATTCTGGCTAATGAGAACTTGCCCTCAGAGGCAGGTGAGGGAGTGTGAGTGTCCAGCTGGGTCTTAGAAGTGCCCCTCCTGACATCAGTGGCACCAATTGATCTATCTCTACAGATATCCTGTTGGACGACATCGTCCTCACCCATTCTCTCTTCCTCCCCACGGAGAAATTCCTGCAGGAGCTACACCAGTAATATCCTTTTGTGGACCTTGCAAAAGGGGAGGTCAGGAGGGAGCAACTCCCTGACCCAACATGTGAGGTCAGAGCCTAAGCCCTTCCCCACAAAACACACCTGGGTTTCAGTTCCAGGTCTTTTACTCACCAGTTGTGTGATGTTGGGCAGATCACCTAGCCTCCTGGGCCTCAGTTTCCTCTTCTGTTAAAAAGGGGTAGATAACACCTGCCCTGCCTCCCATTGGGCTGCTGGGGAGATCTGTGTGATAGCAGATGTGGGCATACTTTGCAGACTACAGAGCCCTGTACAAATGCAAGGTGTTATTAATCTATTAAGAGTGCATCTCTCCCCACTGAATTATTGCTCTAAACATCTGGCTGCCTGGTGAGTTATTACAGGGTCTGCTGTAAACATCAAGTCATGGCTGTGCTTTAGTAGGGTTTGCTGGAGATAAGTCACTGGCTGGGCTACTCATAGGGTCTCATGTAAGCATAGGGTCTCTCACTGAGTTACTTTAGGACCTAATTGCAAATGTCAGGACCAGGTCTTACACTGAGGTATGGTCAGGTCTGTGGTAAGCACCATTGGCCTTTATCAGCCTGCTGTGAGCTCCAGGCCATGGGCTTGTCAGAGAGTGGGTGGGTCCAGGCAGGGTATCTTCAAGTGAAATTCAAACAGAGGGGAGCTGGGTGTGGTCAAGGAGGTGTCATCCCTACCTACTCTAAGCAAAAACCTGGGCTGGGGCATGAGGGAGTCTTGGCTGCAGCAAGGCCCGGACCTCCTTTCTTCCTAATCTCTAGGCCCCCAAAACTGGGAGTGGTTTAAAGCCTCCATTACCTCCCAGCTCCCTTCCCAGTTTCCTCAACTGTGCCTGCCAAGGGCTTTTTCTTAACTAAGGGGTCAGCTTTGTTTGGGCAGGAGGCATGGAGGGCCCCGAGGGGCTGGGCCGAAAGCAGGCCTGTCTAGCCATGCTCCTTCATTTCTTGGACACCTACCAGGGGCTGCTGCAGGAGGAAGAAGGGGCTGGCCGCATCATCAAGGTGGGCCTGGGAAGAGAAGGTGGGTGAGCAAGCTATTAGCTCTGAAAGGGGGCCCCTTTGAAGGAGCCATACTCCCCAAGCTGGGTATCTGGAAGGAAGAGATGCCAGTGGGCCTTAGCTTACATGGTTCTCTGCTCAAAGGTAGGGAGACCCCAGTGCTTGCAGAGTGATGCTTAGGCTAAGACCCCTGCTCTCACCTGCCCTCTCCTCTGCTCTGCAGGATCTCTACCTGCTGATTATGAAGGATGAATCCCTTTACCAGGACCTCCGAGAGGACACACTGAGGCTACACCAGCTTGTGGAAACAGTGGAGCTGAAGTGAGGGGATGGGCTGGGGGAAGGGACAGGAAAGAAGTCCCCCACGTTCCTCCATTACAGGGGCTGCCTGTAGCCTTTTGGCTCCAGTTTTATTTCAGCCTTTTCTTTTACTGGAGAGTATCACAAAGCACAGTCTCTGGTCACCTTTTTGTCCATTTTCCCATCCATTTATTTGTCAATCCAATGGTGTACTGATAAATATTTAACAACCAGTGCTTCAGGAAAAAGAGCCCTGATTTGTACCTTTTGCTGACTCGCATGGTGTAAATTCCTCCACCATGGCTGATTTCAGGCTACCACCATGACATCCCTAAATGTGAAGTTGGGAAGAGATGTGTGGTAGCCGGCACATATGGTGTTTTCACCATACAAATACAATAGATGTAAATAACCTCAGAAGCATAAATTGTAGTACAATGTAGTAAAACAATCAGAAAACTACTTTTTGGTATTAGTTTGGCTGTAAGTTTATAAAACACACATATATATTAATAGCTGTTTTAAAACCAGCTGGCAAAATTCCCCAGAATTTAGCAATCCACTCTTATGAGCCAGTGTGAACCAGCTTCAGGACACCACTGCATCCATCCATCCATCTATCTACACAGCCATCCATCTATCCATCCCTGTGGCCCTTTCAATTTCTCTCCACTCCATCCCCTCAATCATAACCCCCATTCTCTCACATGGATTTTTGGCACAGTCTCCTATCCAGGACTTCAGGTTATGGGTTTATGTCTTTCTCTCCCTCCTTATACTGACAACAAGAAAGATCTTCCCAACTTGACGACATCATGCTCCTGTTCCAAAAACATCCAAGGCTCCCCACTGCCCACAAGACAGAGTTGCAACATCCTAATGCCTTCTGCTGATCCTTCCCATCTCATTTCCCACATCCTCTCCACCCATGGCACTGCCTACACACACCCCACATTGCCTGAACTCCTGTGCATTCCCAACTTCCTGCTGTCGTTTATATGGTCCATTCTAGAAGTATCTACAACTCCTTCTCTTCCTGTTGTCCTTCAAGGCCCAGGTCAAATGCCATCTTCTCAATGAATGTTCCCTAGATCCTCCTTTCTGGAGTAGCTTTCTCCCTCCTCCATGCCAACATAACTCTTTGTACCTTTGTTATATCATCTAACACCTCCTGCCTTGTGTTAGAAGTAGCTGTATGCATGTCTGTCTCCCTCCCAGACTGTGAAGTCCTTGTTGGCAAAATTCAGCAAACAGCTGATGACCTACACCTGCCATGTGCCAAGCAGTGTGCTAGGCCTGGAGGATTATATATTAATAGCTGTTTTAAAACCAGCTGGCAAAATTCCCCAGAATTTAGCAATCCACTCTTATGAGCCAGTGTGAACCAGCTTCAGGACACCACTGCATCCATCCATCCATCTATCTACACAGCCATCCATCTATCCATCCCTGTGGCCCTTTCAATTTCTCTCCACTCCATCCCCTCAATCATAACCCCCATTCTCTCACATGGATTTTTGGCACAGTCTCCTATCCAGGACTTCAGGTTATGGGTTTATGTCTTTCTCTCCCTCCTTATACTGACAACAAGAAAGATCTTCCCAACTTGACGACATCATGCTCCTGTTCCAAAAACATCCAAGGCTCCCCACTGCCCACAAGACAGAGTTGCAACATCCTAATGCCTTCTGCTGATCCTTCCCATCTCATTTCCCACATCCTCTCCACCCATGGCACTGCCTACACACACCCCACATTGCCTGAACTCCTGTGCATTCCCAACTTCCTGCTGTCGTTTATATGGTCCATTCTAGAAGTATCTACAACTCCTTCTCTTCCTGTTGTCCTTCAAGGCCCAGGTCAAATGCCATCTTCTCAATGAATGTTCCCTAGATCCTCCTTTCTGGAGTAGCTTTCTCCCTCCTCCATGCCAACATAACTCTTTGTACCTTTGTTATATCATCTAACACCTCCTGCCTTGTGTTAGAAGTAGCTGTATGCATGTCTGTCTCCCTCCCAGACTGTGAAGTCCTTGTTGGCAAAATTCAGCAAACAGCTGATGACCTACACCTGCCATGTGCCAAGCAGTGTGCTAGGCCTGGAGGATGAAAAAAAAAATTCAGTAAGAACTAATCCTAGCCTCAAAAGCTTTCAATCTCATAGAAAATATAAGACATGAGCATAAACAAATACTAGTCCAATGTCCTACAGCGGTTGATGCAAAAAAGTGACCTTTCCTGGTGGGTGAGTGGATCAGAGATTTCATGGAAGAGGTGGCATTTGATTTGGGTCACTTTGGATTGTTGTCATTATCCTCTCTTCCAACCTCCTTCACCATTTTCTGAGCCTGTTGCTGTGCATCCTTGACCCACTTCTGGTATCCCTGCTTGATACTGCCTGCCTGGTACCCCATATGCCTGGCAGGACTTCCTGATGCCCAGTGTCCATGCTAGGGTTCCAGAGGAAAGCCAGCCACCCAGCAAGCAGGTGAAGCCACTCTTCCGCCACTTCCGCCGGATAGACTCCTGTCTACAGACTCGAGTGGCCTTCCGGGGCTCCGATGAGAGTGAGTGTGGGAATTAAAGGGGAAGGTCTTCCTGAGTGGCTCAGGGGGCCCTGTGGGTCTCTGGATCTTGGGCATCCTCAGTGAAGTCTCCCTGTGTAGTAAAACCTGTCCTTTAGCAGCATCTTTTTCAAAGGCCAACCAATTAAGAGGTGGGGTGGGAAGGGGTGGGAAACAGAGCTGCCCTGGAAGGGACTATCCCAGTTCTGCCATTCTGCCCTCTGATGAAAAGCCACCTTCCTGTCTCTGTCCAGTTTTCTGCCGGGTCTACATGCCTGACCACTCTTACGTGACCATACGCAGCCGCCTCTCAGCGTCTGTGCAGGACATTCTGGGCTCGGTGACAGAGAAATTGCAGTACTCGGAGGAGCCTGCAGGGCGTGAGGATTCCCTCATCCTGGTAGCTGTGGCCTCCTCTGGAGGTGAGGGTCAGGAAGAGCTGGGCCAGGGAGCCAGGAGAGGAGACATGACAGTCCCCCTCCATGACCCAGTCTGACTTGAAATCCCTGCTCAACTCAGCTTCTGGCAGATCCAGCCCCAGGGCCCACAGCTTGGCTAATGGGCCCTATCCTTGTGCAAATTAGTTTTCCCCCATCTCTGTCACATCTCTCTCACGAGCCCAGTGCCCAATGGCAAGGGTAAAGACTGAATGCTAGGTCCTGGCTACTCCAAGTGTGGTCCCGGGCCCACCCACATGAGCATCACCTGGGAGCTTGTTAACACTGCAGTATCTCAGATCCCACGCTAGAACTGCTGAATCAGAATGGGTATTTTGACAAGTTCCCAGGCAATTCCTATACACATTAAAGTTTGGAAAGCACTGGTCCAGAACACTTGGATTCTGACCTGGATGCTTGCCTCTTACTCACCTTGGGATATGATCTTTTAACTTCCTTGAGCATCTTAAGATACTATATTTTTTAGGCTCAAGACGCAGGTGTGCCTCCAATCCCTGTGGGAAGGCAATGTCTACAGTGTAGCCAGAGCCTTATTTTCCTCTAAGGCAGGACAAAAAATTTCCATTGTCACAGGGATGATAGAATGAGAGAAGAGCTATGAAAGACTTGTGGGTAAAAAGAAGGTTATACCTGCAAAAGAAATCATGATTTGAACATTTTCAGATAAATATGGCATAAACTGGTGATAATCTGAGTCCCTTTAGTTTAAAATGCGTCCTTGTGGGGGTTAGGAGATTCTGGATGGGATGGTGACAGTGCCTAGGGTGTGTGTGGGTTCGGGTGGCCAGGGCTGAGGCAGAACAGCTCATTCTCCTGCAGAGAAGGTTCTTCTCCAGCCAACTGAAGACTGTGTCTTTACTACGCTGGGCATCAACAGCCACCTGTTTGCCTGCACGCGGGACAGCTATGAGGCCCTGGTAAGAACTCCTTCACAAGGCCTTGTCAGGGAACAGGGCTGAAAGGGTCCGTGAGCAGGAACTCACAAGCCTAGAGCGGAGCCCAGCCCATGCCCCTGCCTGCCACCAGATGCCCCTCCCTGAGGAGATCCAGGTCTCCCCTGGAGACACAGAGATCCACCGAGTGGAACCTGAGGATGTGGCCAACCACCTGACTTCTTTCCACTGGGAGCTGTTCCGATGTGTGCACGAGGTGGGGACTGCGGCTGCTGCTGGGCTGGGGCCTGAGGGAGAAATGTGCCATTATAGAGGTCTAGGGGCAGGTGCCTTCTGCAGCTGAACTTCCTGATTAAAATGCTGAGCTTGTATCATGCCTTTGGGCAATGCATTGCCAGAACCTTCTTAAGCCTTTCTTACCTCATTGGAAAAAAACCCAAACAAACAGTAAAGAGACACCCCCTAGCAGGGTGGCTCTGGGCCCAAATGCTGCTTACCAGAACCTGACCCATGGTTGGTATTGAAAAACTATTCACTATTCAAGAAATAAGACAAGGCAGCCACAATAATGACTATTAGATGACCCAGGTGCCTGACACTTAATAGGTGGCCAATAGAAGGTAGAGTATGGCTAATGTACGTTGTTTCTTCCCCCATGTCTGTCACATGTTGTTCTATCCCATTTTTTTTCCTGTTTTCCACCTCTGGGCCCCCACGCTCCTATCTTTCTGTCCTCACGGCCCTGCACTGCCATCTTCCCATCCACACACCCCCGCCCCATGCCCTGGCGGCCCCTCCGCCACTGTGGGTGCAGCTGGAGTTCGTGGACTACGTGTTCCACGGGGAGCGCGGCCGCCGGGAGACCGCCAACCTGGAGCTGCTCCTGCAGCGCTGCAGCGAGGTCACGCACTGGGTTGCCACCGAGGTGCTGCTCTGTGAGGCCCCGGGCAAGCGCGCGCAGCTGCTTAAGAAGTTCATCAAGATCGCGGCCATGTGAGTGCGGTCAGCCCGCGGCCGCTGAGTGCAGAGGCCAGGCGGCTCTCGCACCGCCACCTGACTGCGCACTGACCCCGCCTCCCATCCCCGCAGCTGCAAGCAGAACCAGGACTTGCTGTCCTTCTACGCCGTGGTCATGGGGCTGGACAACGCTGCGGTCAGCCGCCTGAGGCTCACCTGGGAGGTGAGGAACCTCTTTTCTTTCCTTTCCTCCCACCTGTGCTGACCTACTTCAGGGAGCTTGGCCTTCAGCCTCGGTCCTGACCTCCTGGGCTCACCCCAGTGCGGCCTCCTGTGACTCAGGCTAGCAGATGGGGGCCTTCGTGCCAATAGGAAGGAGGCGCCCTCTTCTGGCAGATCAGCCCAAGGGCACACAGCTTGGTGCAAATTAGTTAAAAGTTAGTATCCTGGCTTGAGTCAGGGCAGGCAGCCCAGGCCGGGTGGCAGACTTGGCTATTAGATTTCAACCAGCACTCAGGAAGACACCTTGGTGCAGGGCATATGCATAAGCAGAGGCCTCAATTTCCCTAGAATAATTCATTCCTCTGGTTGCTTCAAGCTCCCCAGACCTCACCCTGCTTCTCCAATTATCAACTTGCAAGACACTCAGGCCCTTTCCCCCTCTAACACCTGGGGATTAGCCAGAGGCTCCTGTGAAACCCAAGAAGCTCCATTCTGACATTCCTTCTTCCTTCAAATTCTGCAGAAGCTGCCAGGAAAGTTCAAGAACTTGTTCCGCAAATTTGAGAACCTGACAGTAAGTGGGTTCAGCTCTTTTATCTGCTCCTGGACTTGCATCCCAGAGATTCTCTGTTCCGATAAACCTTCCTCCTCAAGCTTCCCTTTCAAGGTTTTTAGTGCTGCCCTCCACCCCCTAACCACACACGCAGACGCACTGAGAGGAGAACGGTGGGAGGGTGCTCCCCTGTTTTCCCTGGAGGAGACGGGAGAACAGTTAAACCCCTTCCCACCACACCCCCAGCTAGACACCCAGGCACACTCTCTCTCATCAAAGATGTATCTAGGGCAGGAGGTTGAGGGAGGGAGTGGGGGTCATCTTTGTGATACTCTGAGCCTATCTGTACCTTTAACCCTCTTCTGCGGAATGCTAGGACCCCTGCAGGAACCACAAAAGTTACCGAGAAGTGATCTCCAAGATGAAGCCCCCGGTGATTCCTTTCGTGCCTCTGATCCTCAAAGGTAAGAGTCACTCCCAAGTTGTGCTCTTCTATCCAAACCCTCCATGCCCCAGTCTGACTTGTAATCCCTGCTCACCTCGGCTCTGAGTGCCCACCTGGAGAGGAGCCCCCAGATTGTGTGGGTCCTGGGGAAGGTGAGGGGCCCCTTGGACCTCCTCTATCATCCTTCCCTCATGCTTGCTTCTCTCCCTGTCTCCTAGATCTGACTTTCCTGCACGAGGGGAGTAGGACCCTTGTAGATGGTTTGGTGAATATTGAGAAGCTGGTGAGTGGCACTGCCAATTCCAGTCCCGTGAGTGGGGGCTGACATCCCTCCCCCTCTCCTGGCACCCCTTAAAGACAGCAGCCTTCCTCTGTGGCACCCAGCTTGCCTGACAGACTCCTGACTATCTCCCTGGTGGCATTGCTGTGGCAACCAACCCACGGGTGGCAAAGCTGACAGGCAGCTTAGGGGGCCACTCTACCTCCCCCTCACTCATCACCCTGTTACACCCCCTCCTTTGGTCCTCTGGAGACCCTTCTGGACTGGGGACTGGAGGGAGTAAAACCAACATAGTTGAAGAATAGAGGAGATGGGAACATCTTTCTGTGCCCCTCTGAAGGCTCATTCCATCATCTTCCAGCATTCAGTGGCTGAAAAAGTGAGGACAATCCGCAAATACAGGAGCCGAGCCCTTTGTGAGTACCCAGGGTTCTCAAAGCATTACAGGTAGAGCTTTGACTGAGTGGACAACTTGCTCAGATGTTTATTTCCTTAGACTTGTCAGTTCTCCATTCTCTCCTTGACCTCCCCAGGGGCCCTCCTGCCCAAAGTCTGTCCCAGTCCTCACCCTTCTCTTCTAGCCGGCTTGTGTATAGAGGAGGAAGGGAGGCTGGGGACCTGAACACCTCTCTCTCCTGACACCTCCAGGCCTGGACATGGAGGCTTCACCCCATCACCTGCAGACCAAGGCCTATGTGCGCCAGTTCCAGGTCATAGACAACCAGAACCTCCTCTTTGAGCTCTCCTACAAGCTGGAGGCTAACAGTCAGTGAGAACAGAATTCTGGTTGGCCCCCCACGAGGGTCCTTGGGCACCTGACACTCAAGCACTTTGCACTATGTCCTAATCCATCTCTGACACCTTTCCCCCTGGAGCAACTTCTCTCCCCACCAAAAAGAGTTGGATGGACTTACCCCCAGACTCACAAGCCTGTTCATCCTGCTGAAGTCCTCTCTCCCCGCTCCTTCAAGCCCAAACCACACGCAGCTGATTCCTGCCCTTGCAGGGAAGTGGGGGAGAGAGTTCCTTCCTCTGTCTCCTCTGGTCAAGGTCTATTCTGGAGATAGAATTTCTAGTCTCTTCTTCTCAAGCAGGAAGGAAAGCTGCCCACCATCCTGAGCAGAGCACCATCCAGAGCTGAATTGTAAAAGGGATTGGCAGCCTTCCTTTCTGCCCCTGTCCAGCTTCTCTGTGGTCAGGGCTAGTCCTCCCCCTCACTCATCACCCTGTTACACCCCCTCCTTTGGTCCTCTGGAGACCCTTCTGGACTGGGGACTGGAGGGAGTAAAACCAACATAGTTGAAGAATAGAGGAGATGGGAACATCTTTCTGTGCCCCTCTGAAGGCTCATTCCATCATCTTCCAGCATTCAGTGGCTGAAAAAGTGAGGACAATCCGCAAATACAGGAGCCGAGCCCTTTGTGAGTACCCAGGGTTCTCAAAGCATTACAGGTAGAGCTTTGACTGAGTGGACAACTTGCTCAGATGTTTATTTCCTTAGACTTGTCAGTTCTCCATTCTCTCCTTGACCTCCCCAGGGGCCCTCCTGCCCAAAGTCTGTCCCAGTCCTCACCCTTCTCTTCTAGCCGGCTTGTGTATAGAGGAGGAAGGGAGGCTGGGGACCTGAACACCTCTCTCTCCTGACACCTCCAGGCCTGGACATGGAGGCTTCACCCCATCACCTGCAGACCAAGGCCTATGTGCGCCAGTTCCAGGTCATAGACAACCAGAACCTCCTCTTTGAGCTCTCCTACAAGCTGGAGGCTAACAGTCAGTGAGAACAGAATTCTGGTTGGCCCCCCACGAGGGTCCTTGGGCACCTGACACTCAAGCACTTTGCACTATGTCCTAATCCATCTCTGACACCTTTCCCCCTGGAGCAACTTCTCTCCCCACCAAAAAGAGTTGGATGGACTTACCCCCAGACTCACAAGCCTGTTCATCCTGCTGAAGTCCTCTCTCCCCGCTCCTTCAAGCCCAAACCACACGCAGCTGATTCCTGCCCTTGCAGGGAAGTGGGGGAGAGAGTTCCTTCCTCTGTCTCCTCTGGTCAAGGTCTATTCTGGAGATAGAATTTCTAGTCTCTTCTTCTCAAGCAGGAAGGAAAGCTGCCCACCATCCTGAGCAGAGCACCATCCAGAGCTGAATTGTAAAAGGGATTGGCAGCCTTCCTTTCTGCCCCTGTCCAGCTTCTCTGTGGTCAGGGCTAGGACCCCTAGAATATTATATTGTTTCATAATAGAATATTATGTGTGTGTGTGTCCCCTTTAAAGGAGCAGGAGTGCATCTAGCAATTGAGGGAAGTTGTTGTATGTGTGTTGTGGGGGGGTCCTTCTGTTTGGTGCTACCCTTGTCTGCTCTGCCCCTGGGATGATGCAGGGCGCTTGCCCCACCGGCGTGCTCCCTGCTCTGCTCCTCCTGCTGCCCTGCATGCCCCAAACTGCTCTCAAGGGCAAGGAGTGGCAGCAGGTGGGAGAGGTTGTCCATCAGCCCTGTGTGGGCCCCACTCAGGCCTCTGGTAGGTCCCTGGTGGGCCCTGCTGAGAGGGTAAAAGATGCTCAGGGAAACACAGGCCTAAGCTGCCCACAGGATCCTCCCTCTGCATTGCAGTCATTGGGGGTGTGGCAGTATCAGGAGTTAGGGGTGCCTGCTGCCCACACTCCTGATTTTAGCGTGTCCCACTGCTAAGAAGGGAGTTATCACCCCCCTTCTGGCATGCCTATGGGACACCAACAATGTGTTCTCTTTCTCCCTGTCTTGACACCCCCTGGGGTGGGGTGGACTCCTACCTGGACAGGCAGCCCCCAGATGAGGGGGGTAGGAGTGGCAGAGACTGTGAAGGCAGAACCGGACCCTGGCGATGCTTTTCTGACCTCTCTGTCTCCCCTCGCTCTCCCACCCTCCGGGGATGAGGGCCCAGGGCTCCTGGCAGCTACTGGGCTAGGGTTTCTGACACAGCCTCGCCCTCCTCTCTGGCACCACCTCCTTCCCTTCTGAAGGGGCAGCAGCAGCTGCTACTCCTGCTCTGAGGGTGTACATAGTTTTTACCAAAAGCTCTGGAATTGTAAATTTATTTTTTAAAACTCAAAGAGGAAGAGACTTGTATCATATGTAAACATTGTATCATAGGTTATGTTGTATAGTCCCTTTTATACAGTGGCCTGTCTTGTTCCTGCTGCAATGATTGTCTCTGGACTCCCCACCCCTACCCCACATCCACAGGCGCCCTGTGCTGCCCATGCATCCCTTACAGACAGTGACCATGGCCTCTGCTCCCTCCCCTCCCTGCAACTGCTGATGTGCCCATCCCTCCGCAGTCACCCTTCCTCCTGATCCTGCTCAGCAGCCTTCCCACTCCAGCTCCTGCAGCCACCTCAGACATTGGGACCCCCTGGTCCTGTCTTGACTGCTGGCTGCCCCTAGCCTTGACATCTGCCCTGGGTTGCCTCCCGGACTCCACCTGTTCCCCACAGCTTTAACAGAGTGAACTGTGTATACTGTACAGGCTCAGCTGTCTTTGCAGAAACCGCTGGGTGGAGAAAAAGCCGATAAAATCTATGAATCAACATGCCTGCTGTTCTCTATTCTGTTTCTTCAAGGCTGGGGAAGGGCTGAGGTGGGGAGAGGGGACCACCTCTCAGCACACTGGGCCCTTCAGCAGGGCTGTTCTGGAGTGACTCTGAAAATGTGGATGAGATGACAAGGTGTCAAACTCATGAGTATGCTACATAGTGCCTGAAACTAGGAAGAAGTGAATGTTTTAGTTCTTCCATGTTCCAGGTGCCATAGACATGTGATCTTGATGAAGTCTAACCGTAAGGTGGAAGATGGAAGCTGGCCAGTCTCAGCAAAAGGTCCAAGTTCCAGAGTGAGTGAGGGGACAGACCTGGACTCCTAATGCAGATCCACCTGCTGCAGACAGCATCCACATTGCTCTAGCCACTACCCAGACAGCATGTACTAGTCACACAGCCCATACCTACTTGTTACACTGAGATGTAGGACATCCAGAGCCCAAGCTCCAGGAGACATCATACACTCAAACAGCTGCTCAGATGAGCCCTTGTCCTTCCCTTGTCCTACATCTGTTATTCCCTCAGTCTTCGGCATCTCAGAAAATGGTCCTTTCATTCACCCAGGTTTTCAAGGCAAGAATCTGGGACTCACCCTGATGCCTTTCTCTCATCCCTTGGGCTATAATTCTAGAACATATCCTGATTGGTTCACTTCTCTGTGACTCCTGTATTATCACTTAGTCCAAGCCACTTTCGTGTATTCCCGGGATGACTATGCTAGCTTCCTACCTGGTCTCTCGGCTTCCTCTCTCTAACCCACTCCTAATCCCACCAGATAGTTCTCCATATTGCTGCCATTGTGCTCTTTTAAAAACCTGAATCACCTCATACATGGCTACAGTTAAAAAGAACGGCAATACCGAGTATGAGTGAGGATATGTAGCAATGAGTACCTTTCTACATTGTTGGTGACAGTGTAAATTGGCACAACAATTTTGGAAAACTATCAATATCTCCTCAAACTAAATGTACACCTGACCTGTGATCTTAAATTACCACTCCTGGGTGTATAGAAATTAGTGCTTATGTCCACCAAAAGACATGCACAACAACCACAGCCTTTTGTTCATGATAAAGGCATTGGAAAAAAATCCAAGTGTCTTTCACCAGGTGAATGGGCAAATCGATTGTGGTATATACTTACAATGGAATAGTACATAGCAATAAAAAAGAACAAATGACTGCCGTCTGCATGAATGAATCTCATAGACATAATATTGGGTAAAAGAAGCCAGACATAAAATGACATACTGTATGGCTTCATTTAAGAGAAGTTCAAGAACAGGCAAGATCAACCTATTGGCATAGAAGTAAAAATAGTGAAAACTAGTGAGAATGTTTGGTATCTTGATCTGAGTGATGATTACATGAGTGCAAACGCATGTCAAAATTTATTGCTATACACGAATTTGTGCATTTTATTGTACGTACCTAAAAAAAGATATGCATCAAAAAAGGAAAATTTGGCATTCTGTGTAGAACATATATGTCAGTGAAAATGTAAAAACTAAAATTTCAAATGGGTGCATATATCCATTTCAAATGACAGGGAATAAATGTAAGAAAACTATAAAAAATAAAATAGTTGTTACTCAAGGGGCTAGGAGAGAGTACTGATGGGGAAGTGGCATGCAGAAGTCCCCTGTGGTGATAGAACTATTCTGTATCTTGACCTGGAGGTAGTAATGCAGATGTGTGTGGGTTTGTGTGTGCACTGAATTGTGAGATTTATACATTTACCGTAATTATGTTAAAACTCAATTAGAACGAGATCATAACTCCCGTTTTCAGTAACACTTAGATTAAAAATTAAAATCAAAATCCTCTCTCTGCCCCCTTCTCCTACCCCCTCTCCTCTCATATGCTCCACTCCAGCCACTCTGACCACTTTATTGCTCCTAAACCGTCCCCTCTTGACCCCCTCTTGTTTAGGGAATCACTTGCTCTTCCCTGAGCCTTTCCTGACCACTCCGGCCCCATCCCATCCCTCTCTCTCCTGTATTTTATCCTGTATGTATCCTTACTCTCGTGTAATTTCTTTAAGACATTCATCACCTGACAGCATCCATAGTTCTTTGTACATTTGCTTACTCCCCTACCAGAATGTTAGCTCCGTGAGTCTGTCTTGTTCACCATACAGTACCTAAAACAGTACCTGGCACAGAGAAGACACTCGATACGTATTTGCTGAATGAATAAATTAGGTTGATTGAAATAGGAGCCCTGTGAGTGGGACAAGACACAAGAGGATAAACACTCTAGGAAGTAAGCCAAGGAGATTCACTACTGGGCTGGGGGTGGGGGGTGCGGGACAACAGGAGAAAGCTTCTTAGAGGAGATGAGCCAGGACTTGACACAGGCAAAGGGTTTGATGATCCAAGTGTGGAAGTGGAAGGTCAGGGCTGTGGCACTGGGGGGCATTGCCAGCCTTGAGAGCTGTCTCTGCTGGACTGGTCACTCGGGCGGCCAGAAGTGTGGAGGCTGGACAGGTTTTTCCCTCCTCAAAGGGGGCTGGTCACACCCTCAATCAAGGGCTCCATGTCCTGGAGCAGGATCATGGGGACCCGGTCCTTTTGTCCCTGTTTCCGTTCTCCAGAAGGGCAGAGAAAGTGGTATGTGTTACTCCCTTTAGCCCCACCTCAGCTGCCTTTGGATCCATCAGGCATCTGCTCCCTTTTGGGGATGATGATGATAACTGACATTTGGAAGACTGTCCTTTGCCACTCACTAAGCTTGGCTCTATGTGCATTTTCTCATTTAATCTTCCCAACAAACCTAGGAGGTTGGCTCTATCACTTCCACTTTCCAGATGAGAACTGATGTCTAGAGATTTCTCATCAGATGCCCAGAGAAGCCAAGACCCCAGCCCTAGATCTCACAGATAGCAAGGATTTGAGCCTGCTTATTGTGGCTCTAGAGCCCACAGTTTAAGCTCCACACAGCCCCAGGACCTTGAAAAGTGGCCACTATGCATTTATCACGTGCAGTGGAGACCTGGCTTTAGCTGAGGGGACTATGCTTTCTGGTCCCTCCCCCCACCAACCAGGTTCTGCCTCTCTGTGGGGAGTGGCCAAGAGATAGGAGAGGTGGTCAGACTGCTGTGTGGGGAGAGGATGAACTTACTTTGTAGCGTTTCATCACCAATCTGGTCTAGCAATGAACAAGAGTGTGGAAATAATTCAGAGTGATAGGAATACCCGCATAATTAGATGCCCACTTGATGAGCTGAATGTTGTGACAAATTTAAACAGCGCCCTCTGAATCCACTAGGTGTCACCACCAAGATTTCTGTCTCACCGCTCCTGGAGACAGGAGGTGTGGGCCAGGGAGAGAGGGATAGAACATTTCTTGGGGAGATCTTGAATCTCGCAGAATCTCCCCAGGTATGAGTCAGAAATTTGACCAGAATAACTTGTATCTGTCATTCTCTACCTTTCTGCTGGCTCTTTCCCACTTAGCATTTAAACCCTTTCAATGCTCCATTTAAAAAACACTTTCCTTGACCCTTCCTGCCCACTCATTTCAAGGTTAAACTTCAAAGTGTTGTCTCCACCTACTGTCCCCACTTCGGCATCTCCCATTCATTCTTTTTTTATCTCCTGTTCCTAACCTTTCATCATGAACGATTTCAAACAGAGAAGTTGAAAGATTTAGTACAATGTATACTTTTAAACATTTGTAGATTCTATAATTAACATTTTGCTAGAAAGTTGCTCTTTCTTTCCTCTCTCCACACTCACACACACACACACATTTTCTTTTGCCAAGCTATTTGAAAGTAAGTTGCAAATATTAGTATCATTTCACTACTAAAAGCCTCAGCGGAAATCTAAGCATAAGGAAGGACATTCTCCTACATACCCACCATACAATTATCATACCTAAGAAAATCAACGGTTCTATGATATCATCTACTATCATATCTATATTTCATTTTCCCAGGTTGTCTTTAAAATATATTTTAAAAAGACTTAAAAAATCCGAATTGCATTCAGTTGTTACATCTCTTGTCTCTTTTAATCTAGAATGGCTCCTTTTATTTTTTTCATACATAAAATGACATACTGTATGGCTTCATTTAAGAGAAGTTCAAGAACAGGCAAGATCAACCTATTGGCATAGAAGTAAAAATAGTGAAAACTAGTGAGAATGTTTGGTATCTTGATCTGAGTGATGATTACATGAGTGCAAACGCATGTCAAAATTTATTGCTATACACGAATTTGTGCATTTTATTGTACGTACCTAAAAAAAGATATGCATCAAAAAAGGAAAATTTGGCATTCTGTGTAGAACATATATGTCAGTGAAAATGTAAAAACTAAAATTTCAAATGGGTGCATATATCCATTTCAAATGACAGGGAATAAATGTAAGAAAACTATAAAAAATAAAATAGTTGTTACTCAAGGGGCTAGGAGAGAGTACTGATGGGGAAGTGGCATGCAGAAGTCCCCTGTGGTGATAGAACTATTCTGTATCTTGACCTGGAGGTAGTAATGCAGATGTGTGTGGGTTTGTGTGTGCACTGAATTGTGAGATTTATACATTTACCGTAATTATGTTAAAACTCAATTAGAACGAGATCATAACTCCCGTTTTCAGTAACACTTAGATTAAAAATTAAAATCAAAATCCTCTCTCTGCCCCCTTCTCCTACCCCCTCTCCTCTCATATGCTCCACTCCAGCCACTCTGACCACTTTATTGCTCCTAAACCGTCCCCTCTTGACCCCCTCTTGTTTAGGGAATCACTTGCTCTTCCCTGAGCCTTTCCTGACCACTCCGGCCCCATCCCATCCCTCTCTCTCCTGTATTTTATCCTGTATGTATCCTTACTCTCGTGTAATTTCTTTAAGACATTCATCACCTGACAGCATCCATAGTTCTTTGTACATTTGCTTACTCCCCTACCAGAATGTTAGCTCCGTGAGTCTGTCTTGTTCACCATACAGTACCTAAAACAGTACCTGGCACAGAGAAGACACTCGA